TTGACGTGGTTACTAACTTGACGCATTTAGTAATTTTGGACTGAATATTGTCCATTAATATGTTTAAACTGTAACCACTGACGAACCGAGATATGCCACTGGAGCATTTCGTTTGTCCGCAATTCGATTGGTTAAATGAGGAATTCAAACTATGGAACGGGCGATCAGGTCTGTCAAAGGTGGTGAGACGCTAACCAAGTAAACATAAATTTTACGTTCGTTCGTGTCCTTGCTCACGATATAACGCTATCGGATGAGTAGATGGCGGTAGTGTTTGACGTATTTTAAATATGGCGACTTGGGGTAGAATTTAAGTGTAGCTTCTATTAGCTGTCACGTCGGTTTGTCGGGGCTGTAACCACTGCAAATAAAATTGAGATGCGATCAAAAATAGGCATCGATCAAACCAGAGACGATGTTAAATAAGAGACGCGCGAAGACTGAAGTCAAAAGTTCCAATCAAACCGTCAAACGCGGTTCCTATCGAGCAATGTAAATAAACACGAGCGCTTCACGAAGAAAAGCGTGGGAAGTATAGAGATTGGTGTTTAATTTAATTGTTGAGGTTAGTTGTCTTTATTATGGAGATTTTCAGCCAGACGCTGGTTAACTGTTGAGATTTAAATAATTATAATTAAGTTGTGATGTGATTGGACAGGGAATATTATTATTATTCAGCAGCTGTATTCTCGTTATATTCTCACCAAATATTTGCTCCAGCACAACGAAACATATCTACATAGGCTCTGTTACAAAAATCGGTGTAATTTTTCAAGATAGTAAAATTTGTGAAAGACTTCAAAAGAGAGTGCAACGCTCTAAAGAATAAACCCTCCAATGTGTTATATTTGATTTCACTCAAAGATGTCAAAAATTGAGTCTTCAAATACTTCCATTGAAAAGAAATACTACCGATCGGTTAAAAAAGTATTCATGTTACCGTAATGCTGAACCAGACGACAGTCACTTGAAGTAAACACAAAATTTAGGGCTGAAAAATCTTGCAGAAAAAGAAATTAGTTGGCCGTGAAACCAGATTTACTTTTATTCTCTCCGCTCGTCTCTTATATAACAGAGGCATTCCACGAAGGTTCGCAAATCGATCCTGACCGATCATTTCCAATTACGCTGAAACTTTGCACAGTTGTTCCTTTTTAGTAAAGGCGCCATTTTGTGCTCTCAGTTTTTCATATTGAATTACGACTACTTTTTGAAAAGGGCCTGTGTAAAAATAGTACTAATGAGTTTAAAAATATATATTGCCGAAACGCTTTGTTCGATTGATTTGGGGTCTAGAGCAAAGTTGTAGATATTATTTTGGCAATTGTGTAAAAAATATACACTGTAAAAATTTTCGTTTGTATCAATGAAAAAAATTATATTTATTATTAAAAAAGTTAATTTCTCAAAAAGTACAATTTTCGTTTTAAGCCTCATTGAAGCTCATAATGTTTGCTACTAACTGGCAAAGTTTGGTGATGGTAAACTCAAAAACAAAAAAGTTATGGTTTTTTGAATATTTCACGATTTTTACATTTTCATTATAAACACATTTTTTTTAACCGTGTACATTTTTTCAAGAATTGCATTTTAATTTTGCACAACTTTTCCGAAGACACCATAGCAATGTTTATTTTATAAGCGCTTTTCTACACAGGCCCTATCGGAAAAGTAGTCGAGGTTCGCTATTACAATTTGTAATAGCGAATCCCGACTACTTTTTTATTTTAAAATCTCAACTTAAATCCACAAAATACAATAACCTGCTCTTTTTTACTTTTCTTTTATTCGAAAACCTTATGGACAAATGATACATAATTTATTTTCATTGTAATACACTTACTTTCTATTTTTATTTACATCACTTCTTAAATACATCGAATATTTTGGCATCATTATCATTACAGTTTGAGTTTGGCTTTAATTTTATTTTCTGATACAGGAATGAAAGAATGAAACTTTTGAGTTCCTTGAATTATTTTTGCATTATTATATTGCTCGTTGAGGTGTGAAGCCATACATTCGTATTCCTCTGTTGTGGCAAAACTAAATGATAATTTTGTTAATTCTTCTTCTTTTCGATTATTTGCCCAATTATAAAGCTCTCTTGCATTTTTTTTATTGGATGTTCACGTTCTTTGGCCAAACTTGCTCTAGTAGCCATACGTTTTATTGTACCTCCAATAGCGTCATAAGGACCTTTCCCATGTGATGTTGCAAAGAAATGCCATTCGGCTTCAATTCCATACTTTGATTTAAATTTACAAAGGCTAGCAAAGTTTTTCCGGTTCTTGTACTGTGACGCGGCTCCATCGGACATAAAATAAATCTTGTTGATATTTTTACTTTGGTTAATGCGTAAAAAACTTATCATTTTAGAAATAAATAAGTTAACAGTCACTGAGTCATGCCTTAACTCTTCAGAAATTATAATAAAACTTAAATGTTTAACTAGCATATTTTCTCTAAAATATATAACAAATGGACGAATGGTAGCTTGTTGGACATTCCAGTGATGAGAATGAACTTCATCCTGTAACACAAAGCTGTAGTTTTCGGAAAAATCGCAAGTAACTAAAAATTCACCTTCTTGCAAATTATTTCGTGTAGTTTTCAAATAATTAGATTGCTGTGTTTTTATGAAATCATGTGGTATCAAACTTGTCAATTTCAAGCAGAAAAATGAAACAAACTCGTCTGCAGGCTTTAAAATAGTTTCTAAATCACATCTATCCGTGGTAACCCACTGTTCAAATGAAAGCTGATCAATGCATTTTTCCTCTAATTGTTTTAATAAAATGATTTCTAATGCGGAAGAGTCTGAACAATCTTCACAACACCGTAGATAGCAATATGTTGTCTTGTTTTCACAAAGTAGGCTGTCAGTGAACGTTTTTACATCATTTAAATGGTTAAGTTTTTTCAAACTGTGTAAAATTAGATTGATGTTTTCATGCGTTGTGTACACGCAAACATTGTGGGTTCCAGAGCTGGTTAAAAGTTTACATTGCTTAGGGGGGAGTTTTGCAAATGAAGAGAATCCAATTTTTACATTGCAGTGAATTTCATTGAATCGTTTATAAGCTTCTCTCAAAGTCATCATTAGTAATCTTTTTTGAATGGCTTGTCGTTTTCCTTCTTTCTGCACAGATACATAATCTTTTTGACCAGGTATTGCCCGGCTTATATAATCATCTTCAAAAAAAATTATGACTGCCAATTTTGTTTCATCACTTAAGGCTGTGTTTCATCACTTACGGTTTTTGACGAATGACCTTCCTTTATCAACTTAGCCTCTGTTGCAATATATCTACTAGCATTAAATTGATCCATAACTTTTTGTGTTGACCATGAATAAGGCAATAACGATAAAATTAATAATTTTTCACTTTTTGCAGTGGATGCATTGGAAAACTTTTCCTTCATGTTTTCTAAAACTTCTTTGAGTTCATTCACTTCGTCAGCCTCAGGCTCGAAGTTGAAAAGATTCTTTCTAATACCTTCGTTGATTTCACGGTGCTTCTTTTCGGGGTAGTGGATGTAGTTGAGTTTTCCCACGTCTATCGGTGATACCTGGATTCCTGCAATGCCTCGGTTGAATATCTCGATGTTGACTGGTTGAGTAAATTCTTGGTACGATTGAACTGAAGTAACTGATGTCATTGATGGTACAGTTGTAAGGCTTTCACAGCTCGGTACGACAGGTACTATCACTGTAGTTGGCATCTTTGAGCTTCCGGCAACATGCTGTTCCTCGTTTGAGATGAAAAGAGCTTGGTGTTCACTACTACAGTGTTGAGTATTTGACTTATTACCGTTAAGATCACTGATACAACTATGCAAAATTGAAGACAATGAATAAAAAAGAAAATTAATCGCTAGTTTGAGCATCATTTCACTTTTATTTAGTTCTAGCTCAATATTCATCAAATGAATTTTTTAGTTTTGTTAGTAACGATACATTTTCATGGTATCAGATGTAATGAATCCTAACTTTTCAATAGGGCCTGTGTAGAAAAACACTAATGAAATAAACATATCTATATTGCAAAAACGGCTTGCTTGATTGCATTGGTGTCTTCGAGAAAGTTGTGCAAAATTAAAATGCAATTCTTGAAAAAATATACACGGTTGAAAAACATGTGTTTTTAATGTAAATGTAAAAATCGTGAAATTTTCAAAAAATCATAACTTTTTTGTTTTTGAGTTTACCATCACCAAACTTTGCCAGTTTGTAGCAAATTGTAGCTTCAATGAGGCTTAAAACGAAAATTTTCAAAAATGTACTTTTTGAGAAATTAATTTTTTTAATGAGAAATACATTTTTTTTCATTGAAAGAAACGAATTTTTTTAACAGTGTATATTTTTAACATTATTGCCAAAATAATATCTACAACTTTGCTCAAGACACCAAATTAATCGAACAAAGCGTTTCAGCAATATAAATTTTTTAACTCATTAGTACTATTTTACACAGGCCCTGTTAGAAAAGTAGTCGTGATTCAATTTGAAGAACTGATAACACAAATTGGCGCCTTTACTAAAAAGGAACAACTGTGCAAATTTTCATCAAAATCGGAGCCGACAAATTAAAAAAAATTAAAAAATTCGTCAATCTGTAGAGAATTGCTCAACATCGTCTCTGGATCAAACCAGCTCAAAATTGAGTCGAGTCGACTCAATTTCATCAAAAGTGAGTTAAAATTTCGTAAAAAAATCTTCTCGAATATGAAGAAAATCGATAGAGGTTTCACGCAGTTTATTAGTATACTCCTAGACTGTATCATATTTCAAAACAATCTCTTGGTTTTCCTCGGCTTTTGTCCGGAATATTCAACTCATTTTTGAGTAAGTCCAGTTTTGAATTTTCAGTCAGTCTGATCCGATCGTGCGGTACGGTTAAGCGGTTAATTAAAGCTCGACATTATCTTTGTTCAGAAAATAGCTAGTTTTCATCTCAAATATATCGTATTGATTCTTTTGATACTTCCCTTCCCAGATTACGACACCGGCGAGCATGTCTCCAATCGACTGATCTCTGACGAGGAGCGCAAATATGGCAAAATTCCAGCCCGCATATACTGGCTGTATTTGAAATCGTGCGGAATGAACATTGTGAGCACGTTCTTTCTCAGTGCCATGACCCAGCAGGGACTGCGAGTGTACACGGATTTCTGGCTTCAGAACTGGACCGAACGAACACAGCAGCTGCAGGACACTAATAGGGTTGCTCCAGCTGATGTAAGGCCGCTGACCTGTGTAAAGACATTCCTTCCGGTTCCGCTTTCTTGATGTATTTATTCAAGCGTTTCGGTCCCACTTTTACGATGCTTTTCATTCCAGATGCATGAGATGCAAATCAGTACCGGTTTTCATGTTTCTCATTGGCCTGGAATTGAAGTGACATGCATCTTCACCGGCACAGCCGTGGAATGCTTTCATTATTTAAAATTTGCAGTACTGCGTATAATGTAAAGTCATGTCGTATCCCAAATATTTTCAGATCCAGTACAACTTCCGAGTGTACGCCATCCTATCGGCCATATGCATCCTGCTGTCGGCGATATGCTTCCCAGCCGGACAGAAAGCAGGCAGCAACGCTCGGAGGCGTTTGCATCAGCAACTGATTGCCGCTGTGCTGAAAAATCCGATCCATTTCTTCCAGACCGTTCCGCTCGGCCGGATCATGAATAGGCTCAGCATCGACATTGCCGTGGTGGACAAGGTATGCGCGTCGGGTTGCATTTTCGCAAATCTCAGCTCTCTAATCTTCACCCTTTCACAGAAAATCGCTGCAACAAGTCAAAAGCTGCTGCAGTTTATCCTTTTGTGCCTTTGTGCCGTGCTCATAAATAGTGTCGTAACGCCGTATTTCATCCTGTTAACAATACCAATTTGTGGCATTTACTACGTCGTGCAGAAGTTCTACCGGTGCTCCTCCAGGTAAGGGACTAAGATTTATGCATTGTGCAGTCAGCGTTCTCAGGATGCTTGGGTTGGGGTGCAGGTTGAATGTAACGAATGGGTTGGCTCCAATGGCTTTGAGATACAATTCAAGCTACGAAACCACGTGTTAATGTACCGTGTGGTAGGAGCAGACGTAAGGTCAAATCGAAAGCATAGAGGTTTGAGCATATCTTTGTCAAGGGAGTAAGATTCCTGGGAAAGGGTTGTTGCTTTGAGAGAACTGAAGGCAGAACGGATGGACATGTCGTAAATTGTTGCGTAAAAATCCTGGGGGATTTTTGTTTTCATTCCGTTCAGTTTGAATCACCCATGGAGATGCAGTTTGGGCGGTTCGAATTGAGGTTGGGCATTTCTATGGTAGAGCAAGCATGTAATTGACAAAAGTTTTTCATTTGAATATCATATCGCGTCACTGTTCAAATAGACCAATGTGACATATCTGCCACTTTGCAAAAATCGAAGTTGAAGTTCGACAGATCATTATTTTCACTGTTAAGAAACAATACATTTTGCAATACTATTTTTAATATAGTCAGTGAATAATAACTTTGAAAATTCAGTAGGAACTGTAAAATCAGAAATTTACTTTGAATATCATGCTACAATATAGAAAAAAAAACACATTACTAGTCAAGTTGTGCATCGTATTTGTTACATTGGACATGTTACATTGGACATGTTACATTGGACATGTTACATTGGACATGTTACATTGGACAATGTTTCTCAATGACATAATCAATTAGTGTTACATTGGACGTTTTGTTGTACATGATACTAGATTCCCTTTCACAGATTTCAGAGTAGAGTACTTAACTTTATATTGGCCTCGCCTTAAGAAAATGAGCACCAATCATGTTAGGCAGTCCAAATGACTGAAGTAACAATCATCTAAAACTGTACATTTGGACAACTTATGACCAATGAATATCTTAAATAAATGAAAGCAAAGTTGGATCGGTGTTTTTGTATCACATAAAATGATAGACAAGTACTAGTTTGTATCGCTTAACTCGATTTGTTTACATTTGTTACTTAGAACCTATTGAAAAGTGACGTGAGAAATGACTAGAAAAGCACATCGAATGCAAACTCATACTGTTGCGGCCAAGATGTCTGTCCTACGTTGTGTTGTATGTATGTGTTGTGAGATCAGCTCGAGTATTTGGGTTGTTCCGAAGCACCAAATGAAAACGTTTTTGTACACTTAATTACTGTTTATTGCCACCGAGAGGTAATAAGCTTGCTCGGAGGATGAACGTACACTTTACATGCTAATTGGTTACAAACTAAACCACTTACAATTAATATCAAATCACATAACTTATTGCAGGAAACGCAAACAATAACAACTCGGAGGTATACACAAACACTAAAGATGGAACATATGCAATTGGGGGCATTTGTTGATGTAGTTTTCCGAACTGTGGTAGAGCTCGACGCCGATATACGATGGTGGCCCCAAAAACGAATGTTTTTAAATTAATTTTTAAAATAAAGGGTGTACCTTTTAAAATCCGCACACACAAAATTCATTATAAATTTTTTTCAGGGAGTAAAAAGAATCAAACGGCGCCGCTGGTGTAGTGGTAAGCGTGATTACCTCTCCAGGCCTGGGTTCAATCCCAGTCGGTGCCGCCGGAATGTTCTGAGGCATAACATCTCTGATCACGCCTTCCTTCGGATGGGAAGTAAAGCCGTTGGTCCCCGGTTCATGAGTTGATGGGTCGATAGGTAGGGTCCAGGTGTGGGAGCTGCCTTCCTGGCACGTCGGTAGCATTGGTGCTCAGCACGAAAACAAGATCGACGAAAAAAAAACAAACCAAAGGAAAAAACAAATAATAATAAAAATAATCAATTATAAATAGTTTTGGCACAATTCATTTAATTTATACAGCCTTAATATCTGAATGCGCGAAACTTGGCCTTATCCCCAGCCATAAGGTTCTGCACGACCTCAGAATCGACAATTTTTTGCATATTAGCCCACGCTTTCTTCATTTCTTCTACATTCTTCACCACTTAACTGCCGTTCTACGCATATCAGTCCCATGTTTCAAAAGTTGTGTGCATCTTGTATGACTACACTGAAACAAAATCCTTTGGCAAAAATGCTATATTGCTGATTTAAATTAAATACCCTCACAAATAGATTTTTGCTGAAAACAATTTCATTTAATTTTACTATTATTTCTATCAAAATTACTATGCATTTTGAGCAAGCATAGTAGTTTTGCCAGAATCATAGTAAATTTGTTAACATTCGTGGTAAACTAAACTGAATTCATAGTAGATTTAACTGTCTTAAGCGTGGTTATATTGATAATAAGTGTTTTCTGCAAAAATAGTATTCCTAACTATGGTCCTTGTTTCAGTGTATGGTACGTATTATGAGTATGAACAGTTTTTTTTTTAATATTTGAAAGCAACATGTATGATAAGACTTTTCGGTATGTTCTGATCGTTTCTCATTTATTTTTATTTGTAATAATAGATTTTCGCTTTTTCTAGCCTTACCCTTATGCTTATGTTCGACATTTTTTCATTGATTACTTTTTTACGTTTTCACTTTATTCCGATGGTTCGGTACATGAACCTTGAATGGGATATTTATCTTTTCAAATCTCGTGATTTTAAACAGCAAAATGCTTTTTAAGTTTTGACTTCGTAATTTTTGAAATGGGAATAAATTTTTTTAAAATGACATAAGCGGACTTTTTTAAAGATCAAATTTATGCAGTTTGTATAGCCAAAATACATGTGGGAAATACGTAATCAGCCATGTGGCGATTTTTTTTTCTAGTATACAGATAAATACAGACATATTTTTGACACTCAAACAAACTTTTGAAAAAATCATCTGGCATCCCTGCGTGTGCTTGAGCCCATGAGCGTGCTTGCGTTCTCCGCAGTTTTGGAAGATCCTGGATAGTTTGTTTAGCTTTCCATCATTAAATTATACCAACAATAAATTTGTTGACACTTCTATAAAACCATTAACAGTATGGGCATCTCAAGAAACTAATGATGAATGCACTATTTAGAACATAAACTTCTTAGCATCTTGTTCTGCTCCTTAGCAAGATTCACGTAATCCTAAAGGAGAATGTGCTTAATCAATTTGCATTTTGTGGACAAAATATCAATACGTCACACGATCGTTGAACGTGGGCTTTGATGATCTCAAGAAATACTTTGGAAGAGTTGCAAATTTCCTCCGTACGGAGTTGACCTTTATACTATGTATTATTATATTATATAAGGGGCTTTTCATGAAACACGTAGACCAGTCTTGTGAGCAGTCACGGTAGTCGACACATTTTCTGTGATAATTGACTGCCTTTGCCTCCGACACTTGCAAAACAAGCTATCATAGTACAGTACCAAACTAAAATGTCATATGACAGGCTCTGTCATACGACACTGTCGCCGAAGACCGTCACGTATGTATGTATTTTAGTTTCTTCTCATATTAAGAGCTGCTGATGTTGTGTTTGTGTGAATTCTGAAAATAGCAAGCAATGATGTCCTAGTAATAATATTTCTGGTCAGAAATGGTTTGATTTACACCAAATTGAGGAATTACAACGAAATCACACATGTCATATGATAGCTATTTTGATAATTTTCTTTTAGCTCGAATGTTATTCTACCGCTCGTGTTGTGTGAGAGAGACGACGGTAGAGCATGAGTGTTCGAATACAAACAGACTGTCGCGCACGACAACGAAGCGAGTGTAGTAAAAAACGTCAACTGTTCCAACCCCTGCACGTAGACACTAGAGAGGGTCTAGTATAAAAGAGGAGCGTACTTGCTGGTCTTGAGACAAACGAACTGTCAAAGCCAGACTCAACCGAGCAGCGCCTATCTGGATTGCATTGGCAGTGTTGCTGGAAACTACCCAGGCATAGTTTGTTTTGAATCCGCTCCTCTTTTATACTAGACTCTCTCTAGTAGACACTATAGGGGGAGTATGGGGGGTGGCAAGTGTCTACGTTAGTGTCTAATATTGCATTGTTTGAAATTAGAAACTGGCGTTTTAATATGAAATCCCGTTTTTCTTAATATTTATCAACGTTAAATAAAACTGCCAGTTCCTATAAAATGGTTCATACTGTTTCTTTTGATTGTATAAATCCTGTTTCCATAATTTGTGTACACAAATCGATTCGTAATGATAACTTCAGTCGAAAAAATCTTTGTGGGACAGTTATGCGTATAATTTCAACATGGGACAATTAGGCTTGATGTTGTTTTTATACAAACCCAGAACAAACAATATGTTTTTCTATTTTCAATCCAAAGACAACCTAAAAAAGTACTGTTTTATGAACAAAAGTGAAAAACGCCCAAAAGTAACATGGAACAGATATGCGTAGAACGAAAAAAAAAAAAAAAAATAGATCGTTTTTAAAATGCTTCTTCATCCCAGTATTTTTCTATTTGTCGGAGTGTTTGGGGAGTTCAGATGTTTCGGCACGAAATCGACATCATTCGCCTTATACCACTCTACCACGTCCTTCGTGTAGTGGCATGATGCCAAGTCTGGCCAGAATCACCGTCGGACCGTCGTGAGCCTTCAGGAGAGGGAGAAACCGCTTTTGGAGACACTCTTCCAAATACACCTGTCCATTCATGGTTCTTGCGGTATCGAAAGGTGTACTCCGCTTTCCGCAAGTACAAATCGCTTGCCAAATTAAGAACTTATTGGCGAACTTCTGTATCCGCAGGTTCTCGGGAACATCACACTTATGCTTGGCAGTCACATACAGGTTTCCTGGAATCTGTTTGAAGTCCGCCTTCACATGTGTCTCATCATCCATTACGCAGCAGTGCGGTATCGTTAACTGCTGGTCGTACAACTTCCGGGTACGGCTTTTTAAGACCGTATTCTGTTGCTCGTCGCGGTTCGGGGACGTCTGAACCTTAAACGTACCTAGTCCAGCTTGAGTTTTGGTATTCTGCACGAAAGTCTT